GAGCTATACAAGCTAGTCATAGAACAGCTTTGGTAGTTCTTCTTAATATGGAACAGATTTGGAGCAGATTTAAAATAGCTTAAAGGATTTCTAACTATAGAAAGGCTTCAGAAGCTTTTTTACCACTAATATATTTAGAAGCTCTTTTTACTGCAGAAGTGCTTTTTAAGCTCTTGTTATTTTAAAAGACCTTTAGAAGCTCTTCTAACTAAAGAAAAGCTTCAGAAGTTTTTTAACTAAAGAAGATGTTTAGAAGCCCTTTCAATAATAGCCGATCTTTTAAAGCTCTTCTAACTTTAAACGTGCATTCTCTCTTCGAACTATAAGAGAGCTTTAAAAGATCCTCTGACTGTAAAATAGCATTGGAAGCCTTTCTAATTTTAGAAGAGTATTAGAAATTCTTCTATCTTTAGAAGTTCTTCTAACTATAGAAAAGCTTTGAGGTTCTTCTTGGTATAAAGGAGCTTTGAAGCTTTTATAACTAAAGAATATACCAAAAGGTAGTTATAAGCCCTGAAGCCTTTGAAGCTCTGCTTCATTCATAAAATACCACTAGAACTCTTGTAGCTACAGTAGTATTTAGCTTAAGAGACCCTTAGGAATGTCAAATAATCATAGAACATCGATAGAATCTTTTTGGATATAGAAGATCTTTAAAGGTATTGTAGCAATAGAAGAAGCCTTTTAAAAGCCCTTCTATCCATAAGAGATATTTAGAAGGTCTGCAAAATACTCTTAGCAGTAAATAAAGTAACTCCTAAAAGTCGTCACAGAAGACCGTTAGAAGGCTTTCGAGCTATGTCAGCCTTTTTTGTATATTTTTTAGCTGGAGAAGGTCTTTTAGACATTGAAGACATTTAAAAGATCTTTTTGATACCAATTTGTGGATAGCAAGACCTTTCAGACGTATTCTAGCCACTCAAAATTCCCAAAAAGTTTAGCTATCTCAGTGATCTCATGTAGGTCTACCACTGTTAAGGTATCCTATACTTCTAAACACATTATTCGCTTTTAGGAACTTTTATATTTGGTTAAGGCTTTTGTAGTTACCATAGGTTATTAAACAGCAAGCAAATATTTTTATTTTGTTTTTTTATTTCTCGCAAATATTCAATTATAGTTTTTGTAAATCTACCTCTTTGCGTTATTTGTTATTCATCGCACAAAATCTTGGTCAAACGATTTTCATTTCAATCACGAACCGAACAACTTGTGCTAATTAATCATTTTTGGGGAGTGTATTTGCAAATCTAATAAGAGATACTAAATAAAACAATAACAAAATAAAAGACAATCACACGAACAACAACAGCACCATCGCCACCAAGTAGTAGCTGTTGGTGTTGTTGCTGCTGCTGCTGCATAATTCACTGATACAACCAACTGCTGAGTAAACGCCATCCAAAAAACAAATGACTAATGTTTCACATGATTGCCTGCGAGATATGCTCGGAGATACCGATACTGCTGGTTAAAAGTAGCCGCAACAACAAATTCTATTTACAATAATTATTAGAATTATATGTCATAATAATGCTGCTAAAGTTACCTTACCTAAGGAAATAAATAAAACGGTTTAACCTTTGTTTTTCTTCTAGAATTTTTATTTAGAATGTCATTGAATGGCGGTGATTTATTGAATGGCAGACCACCACCCCAAGGGGGAAAATCAATAAGCAAAATAGGAGGAAAAAAAGAATGGGAGTGGCTAAAGAAGGTTGTAGAGTGGTCCATTCTAAAATAAGGTAATAGAATGGGAAATCGGTCCTGAACAGGATACAAAATATTTCTGAAAATTTAAAAACTTTACTTCAACTCAAAAAAAAAAAAAAACAAGGGAGGACAAAATTAACAATTGTTTGAAAATTTCGACATTTTGTGGGGGAGATACCAGAGGGAGTGAACCGATTTTGCACATCTCCGAACTCGATCTAAATTTGACAAAAATATTACGATGTACAAAGTTTGGATCAAATCGGATACTCCCTTCAAGAGTTATTGTGCGCACCAGCCAGACAGACGGACGTACGAACATCACTAGGTGCCACAACTTTGACAACTCTGTTTGTTTTATTATCATTATTAACTAGAAATATTTCCCATTTAATATCTTGTTAAAACACTTAGAATAACATATCATTCATTAGCACATTTTTGCCCCGTCCGGACATCTGAGGATCGGGCATTGCCGAATCGACTCCAAATGTTCTGAAACGAATTTCATCTAAAGAAACAAGACCTAATGCGCTTTGATTGCATCAAATGATATGTAACCCTCTGATAGTTAAAAAATCGGAAAGCAACATTATAAAAAAGTGGACCTGGTTGGATAAAATGAATATAAAATCTTCAGGGACGTATGGATTGTAACTACGCACCGTCACGTCTCCAAACGGTATAGCTGCATTTAACAATGGTTCAAAGATGGAAAGGGGAATGTGAGCAGGGGTCTTGTACAAAAGCCTGAACATCACGCAGAAACCTTTGCTATCGAAAAAAAAAAAATAAATCTGTTGGACAATAGAAATAGTCAACTGGGCGAGCTATATACGTAGATAGTCAAGCGGCCTTGAAAGCATTCATTTCAGGTACCATTAGGTCTATGGCAGTTTTGGAGCGTAAGAATGAATTCAAAAAACATTCCAATCCACTGCAACATTTCTGAATAAGTAGCTGGATTGACAAGCCTTGGATCCTCCTTCCTCGTGATATACAAACATTACTCCGGGAGATTACAACAAAACTGGCAAAATTAAAGGGGTGTAATGTTACTAAGAAAAATTGGATAGCAGTCTCCGGGAAGAGAAAAAGGTCGCTCATCTCAATGGGGAAAACAGAGAACCATCACAGGTCACTGTAACACAAGGGCCATGACTTCTATTTGGGGTGACGACCGACACCGATTACTGTAGACTCTGTCAATATGAGGGGGAAACTGAAATGGTCGAGCACTTACTCTGTCACAGACCAACTTTCTCTCAGATATAGGCTGAACACTGAATCTGCTGTTATTCTTCAATTATCCAAAAAGACTAAAATAGCTAACACACACGTATACTTAATCGTGGATCACTAAATCAGTTTTTCTTCTTTCGTTTTTTTCCTAATTCAATATCAATCAAATCCGGCTGTGATGTTTCTATCTTGAATGCGGTACAGGGGTCATATAACTGCTTTTGGTAAATGTTAATTTGTACGAAAAATATATGTACACATATAGAAATATCGAAAATATCTGCAACGATTTTTCCAGACTTCTGTCTAGGAAGAATAAGGCACTATGTGCTAACAAGATGTGGACCAATATTCCGAATTTACTTCAGGCAGGTGATTTTCTAAAAGTAATAGTTGATTCGGGAGCCTTACAAAGGCGTGATTTGGTTAGTCATATCCCTGGACGAAAACTCTGGCATAGAGACTTAATGATCTTTAAACGACTTTTCAATAATCCGAACTTCTTGGAAATGGAGGATATCTTATGTACTTGCATATCCATTATTTCGCTGGAAAGGTCCTATAGACGCAGAATGGGGTGCTGGGCTGTTGTTTATGAAAGCCCTTGTATTTGGATGGTTGATGCTACTCCAAACTTCTGAAAAAAGTGTTTTGTTGCAGGCTACACAACAGTTATTTTGTTGTAGGTTACATACTTCATATTTCAAATTCCCTCAGTGTAATTCCACAGTTTCAGACCATTAGACATTTCACAATTTTATTTTGTTTGATGACGAAATATGAACGGTGAAGGTCGTTTGGTTTTCGTGATTTTCGCTTGGTTGATGTTCAACCTTTCAAGTACCTTTCATTCAAGTAGTCTTCTTACAAGCATCAAAGGAATTGCCTCAGTCAACTCCTTCCATGTTGAACGTTAAGGTAATTCCTTGACCCAGCTCTTTAAAATTTTCTGAAAAGCGCTAAAAAAAAACTAAATCTAAATTAAGGCTGGGTTTATTGCTAAATATTTACAATATTACCTATTTGCACTCCTGTAAAGTCTTTAAATCTAACTCTAGGCTATAAGGGGCTGCGGGAGTCTAATTTAATAGCTATTTTATTTCTATATCTTAAATCTAATTCCTTCTAAGGATCTCAATAGAATTTGTTTATTTTTTACTACCTAAATATGTGTTATGCAGATTTGGCTATTTTTCCCTCAAGAAAAATTATGTCACACTCCTTCGATATTGAATATGTCAAGATCTGATATACCTGACCTGATCTAAAAAGAAGTAAGAAACAAAGGACAATTATTTGGTGTGGATAAATTTCTAAAATTTCAACAATACTACCTATCAGTTCTGTGCATTGCTCACAACTCATGATATGGACCCTTATAAACCATTGGCTATAATGGGCTTCGGGAGTCTAATTTAATAGCTATTTTATTTCTATATCTTAAATCTAATTCCTTCTAAGGATCTCTATAGAATTTGTTTATTTTTTACTGCCTAAATATGTGTTATGCAGATTTGGCAATTTTTCCCTAAAGAAAAATTTTGTCACACTCCTTCAATATTGAATATGTCGAGATCTGATATACCTGCCCTGATCTAAAAAGAGGTAAGAAACAAAGGACAATTATTTGGTGTGGATCAATTTCTAAAATATCAACAATACTACCTATCCGTTCCGTGCACTGCTCGCAACTCATGATATGGACTCTCATAAACCATTCAAAACTGTTAACCTTTTTTATTTCTTTCATTTCATATTGACTTTAGTTTTTTTTTCGTCATTATATCCCCGATGACTAACATGCCATGCCACAGGAATATAACACTACACACCTCATATGGTTCCCCATTCCATCCAGACAAACAAAAAGCGGGAAGACAACTTTCGCTCAAACATTGGAAATCAGAGCAAGAAGACCGTTTGTTCAAGCAGCAAACTACTACCAAAAATATACAAAATAAACTTGAGACACATTTTGGAGAGATCCATGATCCCCCCGAAAAATCTAAAGCGAAAACAATCAAAAGCACACACTCAGCACTTACCTAATAAATGATGATGATGATGATGAAGAGGAAGCAGATGAAATACAGTACATCAACGGCAAATGACGTAGACGTCGCACTCTGCTTTTTTGCCGCAGCACCACACACGGGAAAAGGTATCCAAAAAAAGCTACAACAACTATAACAAATGGATGACGGTTGTGGCGGCGACGGTGTCGTCGTCGAAATATATTCCTTTGGGGGTTTTCAGCTATTCCAAATGAAGGTGGCGGTTGTGGCGGCGTGTTAATAAGATAAGACCACAAAACCGAAAAAAACTTAACTCTTAAAAAAGAAAGCACACCTTTTTTCCACACACATACAACAGGCGGCGAGACGGCGGATGATATCCTCAATAATCTTTTCCGATTTGTATTTCACTTTTTCCAATCAAAATTATTTTGGACGCACCACAACAATATCAATTCAATTGTATTAGAATAACACAACACAACAAAAAACACATCAAAATTTTTCCTTTTTTTCACACAAAATAATTTTTCTATTCGTTTTCGGGGTTTTAATGGTACAAAAATATTTTTACAGCGGGCAGTTGTATTTTCAAGGCAGGCACAGAGTATATTCTGCTTCTTCTTACACTTCCACCTTTCTTTTTTCCTTCTTTCTTCGGGTTTTTTTTTCTTTCACTTTACTTTGCTGCTTATTTGCTACACTTTTTTATTTTGGTTATCTTTCGAGTGAAGGAAGGAAAAATAATGAGATACGTCGTAAGTATGTAAGCAAAACGACGAAGAACATATATTTCGTTGTTAATTTCAAAATATCGGCTTGTTATTTTACACAAAATTCACTGTTTTGTTGTTTATTTAGATTCTATTTAGAATAAATTTTCTTTATTTTTCCAATATTTAAGCACTAATTTTTGACGTTCCTTTATTTCACATCTCTTCAACATACATATATCAGGTTGACAGCAAGAGAGGGAGAGAGAATGTTATGCGTGTTTTCATAAGTCTGTCTGTGTGTTGTTCAAAGAGATGGCAAGGAAATGAAGAAAAAATATTTTCGTCAATGCACCAATTATAATTATCTATCCACATACATTCACCATTTCATAAATACAATTTTTTCGTTGTTTTTCTATAGATTTTTCACTTATTGTTATTTTATTTTAACACTATTTTCTGTTAGGATTCTCACTATTAGTTTAGTTTTCGTATTAATTTGTTTCTTTTAAAAGAAAATGTCGTAAAAAACGACGTTATGCATCCGCCGTAAGTTAAATGTGGTTTTTGCAACGAAAGAAAAAAAACTTATGAGACTTGGTAACCAAACACAAGCCGAACATGATTAAAAGCGTTCCAGCCTATACGAATAAAGAGGCTAATAAGAATGGGCGATAAAAATGAGCGACAAAATGAAATTTGTTGGATTACGGATGAGGTGTAGAGCACAATTGACGACTGGGGATTAAAAAGAACACAGAGTTGTGTTTATGGCAATGTTGGCGGCTTCGATTTGTGCCTGCGACAATTGACCGTTAATTTTTAATTGCCTCTTGCATGATCATTTTATTTGAAATGTATTAAAAGATTATTAAAAAAGATTCTAAATTAATTTCATGTCCGAAACAGAAATATTTCATTAGAAATTGGCGAAGGTTTTTGCTCTCTACATAGTAATATACACAAATTTAAAGCAGTTACATTCACAATGTGCTAAACTTTGTTCTCTCTCGATGTACAGGGTGCCTACGAATTTCCCATCCAAAAAAAATCTAGAAACACCCTGTGAATTATTCTTATTAAAATAAATAATAAATAATATATATTTAAATATAAATGTCAATGAATTCAAATGTCTTAAACGACTGAAATATATTTATATTCATTTCTCGACTAAGATAGCAACCACATTGTATTCTATCATGTAAAACATTCAACATTGCCAACGAGGGATAATGTAAAAACGCCCACTAAATGTTTTCACAGCACAGACCTTTCATATAGATGTATGACAAAAGTATTGCCATGTAAGAAAATATTAAAGGACAATTTAAATTTTTTGGAATTCTTAATATACATGTGACATAAATTTATATATGATTTTCTTTGAAAAGTAATTCCACAACTAAATGAGAAATACAGGAGGCATTTGTATTTATTTATATTCTCATGGTATATACAGGAAAATTTAAACATGACAAATGCAACTCTGTATTTATAAAGCAAAAATATATATAGAAATAACAAGAATGGTACAGTTTAAGGTAAGAAATTACAATAAAATAACAACGAAATTCTTAGAACACCTTAAAAAAATTCCATATATATATATATATATATATATATATATATATATAAATATATATATATATATATTTTTTTTTTTTTTGATCTGTTCCATAACTGTAAGAATGTAAAAGCATAGCATTCGTCTCTTGAAAAAAAAAACTGTGACTTTTGTGTGTCACTTTTATTTTCCATGTGTATTTTCATGCATAAACAGCTTGAAGTCTTTGCATGGCATAATTTGTGACATATCATAAAGGGATGACAAAGCCGCACTCGAATCCTGCCGTCGTTTCCCTTTGCAATTTGACATTAATATGCCTAGTCATGATGTCATAAATATACAATACGAATTTATAAATAAACATAATATTGAAAAAAAATTGAAAAATTGTTAATTCGTGCAGGTTCTGAGACAGAGTAATTGTATTTTATGAAAAAGTTAATATTTTATGGATGAATTTTTACCGCAGACTTAAAGGGCTAAGTACATAAGAAGCTTGAAGTCATGGCTAGGCATATTTTGTGACATTTCACAAAGAGATTACAGAGCCGCACTAAAATCCTGCCGTCGTTTTCCATTATAATTGGACATTAGTATGCCTAGCCATGACTACAAGCTTTTTATGTACTTGCACCCTTAATCGATATATTTTCGCAAAGCGCACAAAACGACTTTTGCTTAATAGTCTATTCCAACTACGACAGAATTGCGGCTTTGACATAAAACAATGAGTGCTGATCTGTGTTACCCTGTTTGTTTATTTTTTTTTAACTTTCTTGGGCTATTGTCGTGCGTGTGCCTTACTAGTTTGTAGTGAATATAATTTTGCCTTTAATAAATGAATAAGAACATATTAAAAAAAAGAAAACTGCAGTATAAATTCTGAAATAAACTGAAGAATTTTCGTTTTGGCGATTGCTGACACTTGATTTGGCGATGGCGGTAGAAAAAATCTGACAACCCTGGTGCCATCGATTGCAGTCGATAAGTCGATTTATAGACACCTATTCCATTCATAAACCCCGTATATATTTTGTCGACTGTCAGACTACTACTTTGTCTCATTTGACTAGTTGTCGTGCGTTTCCGAGAACGTCGTATTCGTCTGCGTCGAAAGAAGTCGAGCAAGAAAAAAAAAAAAACAACAAAGAGAAAATCGATTTTATCTCCGCCCTGATGGCATAAAATCGATGAAATTCTTATTAATATTTTAGAAATTAGTAATAAAAACAAATTCCAAACGAAAGTGTAAGTGTTAAAATAAATGATTCACTGCAAATTATATAAGAAAATATGGAAAATATTTAAGAAATAAAAAGATACGAAAGTTAAAAATACACCTCGATAAAAAAAACCAAAGAAGTGAAGCAATACCAAGTGGTGAAGATGATGATGGAGGTGATGGATGATTTCATCGTTAATAATTTTGTCGCCTTCGATGGAGAATAAAATTAACAAAAAGATATACAATTGTGATGTTGAGAATGGAAAGACAAAGGAAAATTGTTATTTTTACCATAAAGTGTTGCATTGAAAGAATGGAATTACAATGAGATAATAATTAATGAAAAAAGGCTACTTTACATTTATCAGAAATCCATCCATTCCAATTGCCATTAAATATGATTCAAATGTGTGTATGTGAGTGAGTTTCTATATTGGAAGAGGAAGAATTGAAATTGAGTGAGTGCGTATGTATACGACTAGAGATCATTACCAACCAAACAGTTGTTGGTATATTGCAAGTTTATAAGAGAGGGAGAGAGTGTACGTTACCCCTCGATTTACTTGTCCGCTCACACTATATTGAGCTAGCCCCAAAACAAACAAGTTAGAACGCCCACGTTTCTCCCCGCCGTCCGCGAGCGTATATAACGAAAATCAGCGATCTCTGTATGTTGTTGGTGTTGTATTTTATTAGTAATCGTGGTGGCTGTCTTTGTGTTGTTGATTTTTTTTGGCGTAAACTTTGTGTTTCTTTCATATCGTCATATGGTCCAAATGCGAATCCGCCTCTTTATTTGTTTATACGAGGGATAGATTCGAAATTGGTAACATGTAATTGAAAGGATAACGAGGAGAGTATGTACCTGAGGTTCTATGCGACCTCCTATCTTTAATTCAAAAAAAAGTTTTATGAATCATTTGCTGGATTGAATTTGTTTATCTTTTTTCTTGGATTGAAGTGAGTCACACCTAAATATGAGTTCATCAATTCAAATTTAAGCTTAATCGAAATTTTTACTTGCGATAAGTTAGTATTGGTTTCTTGAATAAATATTGACTAAATATTATCGTTTCAAACATATAGATATTTTCAGAAAAAGAAAATTAAAACAATAAGTGATAAGAACAAATCGAACATAGAATTGTGTCATGGCCATTTTATGGATAGAATTGGTGTAAGGTATGTTATATGCTGATAGTCATCAGGTTCCCTCATAATTGGGCTGTTCCAGAAGTGCAACAATGTAAAAGTTTTTACTACGGTAACCGATTTTCCTTTTATGATATCCAAACAAATTCCGAATGTAGTGGATTCTTGCAGGTTCTGAAACAGATAAATAATTGTTTTGTTCCACAACTGCAGGAACATAAACATTTTTACTACGATAGCCGATTTTGCCTTTATAATATCTAAAAATATTGCATAGTAGATTCTTGCAGGTTCTACAAAAGATCAAATACAGGTTGAGACAAAGAACTGTAACAAAGTCTTACACCTCAATTTTTACATTTTTTTTAATTTTTTTAATGAAACAAAAAAATGTCGGAATTAGCATCATATTCTAAAATAAATTTAGATTTGTCAACATTTGGTAACTTTTGACACGTATTATGGCCTTCAAACGCCCAATGAAATCGTCATTCGCTGCCCGAATGTTGCTCTGCGGAATTTTGGCCCTTTCCCGGCGAAGCGCTTGCTTGATGTGATCGCCACTTTGGTATTTTTTTGTGCCAACCTTGCTTTCCAAAATACTCCAGACACTACGGATTGGTATCCGGAGATTTTGGTGGCCATTGTGCGCTGGAAATGAAGCGAGGAACCTCATTTTGTAACCATTCTTGGGTGGCGCGTGCTGAGTGTGATTGTTAGCGTGCCCAAGGCTTTAATACACCAGAATATTTTCGCGATAATATTCGGTATTTATTCTGATGCCACGGCCCACATCATCACCATGTTCGGCGCTTGAGTTCTGGTGGTCAACCGAAGGTGCACATTTTCAGCTGATCTCTTTGGCAAGAAAACACGATCATTTTGTTTGTTTCCAACTACTGGACTACGAATGTTTTCTCATCGGAGAAAGCCAAATTCGGCAGTTCACCACTTTCGGCCAAGCGAAGCAACTCTTAAGATTTGCGGTGTAAATTCTTGCACTTTTTGGAATTTCAAGGGCTTTACCCCCAGCGCATTTTTCAATACTTGCCGAATGGAATATTTCGATATGCTTAGCTCACGAGACATTTTTCGGCCACTGTGACGCGGGTTTAGACCAAGTCGCTTTTTTGCTTTTCAAACCATTTCTGTTGATGTTGCTGTTTTCTTCAGTCCACTTTCTTGACGTCGCGCTACGCTACCAGTATCACGGAAACGAGCGATGGTACGAGACACAAAAGATTTATTCACATTTAAATGCTGGAGTGCTCTAACAATAACCACTTGTGGTTTTCCAGCCAAATATAAAGAAATCACACTATCGCGCTTGAATTCCATCACAATTAACTATTTTCTTGGAAATTCTCGCCAAAATTCTCTCGTTGATATTTTTAAAAATATTTCCCAAAATTCTCATCTAACCCTCGTTTTCCATTTTAAAAACGAAAAAACAACCACCATTATCTCGTCTACTAAATGTTGAGATTGACGACGACTGCATTGATCAAATTTTTATTTATGCTGCTCTCGCCCGCACTTTTATCAATATTTGGTCCAAGGCAGATGTGCTTGTTTTCATTTTTCTTTTATTTTTTTTTGCGGGGGCTATTTATAGAATTTGTGAGTCTTAACGTCACCACCTCTAAATTCATGTAGATTTTTGTTTGGATAGGAAATTTCATCAATTTTATTTTTGCTGGCCTTACAATAATACCAATATTGCATTACCATTTATGTTGTATAGGTTTGTATGTATTTGGTGGCACGTGATGTCTGTATTGTTTACAGACACGCTTTTTGTTTTATTAATGAACGTTTCCAAATCAAGAGGTTTACTTTGATGAATTTGTATTTTGAAGACAAAGGAAATTGCATGTCTCAGAGCGTATTGTCTTTTGGGGTAGAGCTTGACTTGATGCATTTATTACATGAAAATCCGTAAAAGTCGGACGGGGTCGTCTTTATAATACCCTACGCCCCTTGCATATTTAGTAGAGCTTCATATCAATAAAATTAACAATATATATGGGAGCTATAGCTATTACTGAACCGATTTTCACCAAATTTGATATACTTATGGTAAGTGCCAAATTCCATCCCATTTGGGCTTTTATTACACGTTTGTTGCATTATAAAAGGCAAATCGGACAACGATATATATGGGAGCTATATCGAAATCTGAACAGATCTCGATAAAATTTGGGAAAGGTATTTCTGTACTGTATTTGATATATTTCCCCAAATATCATTGTTGCAGAGAGCATATTACGGGTGCGGACGACAAAAATATCAAATCGGATGAACAATATATATGGGGGCTGTAGTTATATCTGAACCGATCTTCACCAAATTTGACATACTAGATTCTACACCTAATTTGGTCGTAAGTGCCAAATTCCATCCCATTTGGGCTAATATTATATGTTTTGGTGCACAATAAAAGCAAATCGGACAAAGATATATATGGGAGCTATATCTACATTTTGGCCGATTATCACCAATTTCAATAGGGTTCGTCTTTGGGTCAAACAAATGACTTGTGCAACATTTCATCTGGATCGGGCTATAAATGTTATCTACAATCTACGATTACAAGAATACATGGACAGACAGACGGAGGGACATGCATAAATCGACTCAGAATGTGATTCTCTGCAGATCATCAAAAGGAACTATGGGTCAATTTCGCTATTCATAAAGACATAATATCCATAATAACCAGTATTGGTATAGGTAATAGGTCCCAAAATCTTATGAAGGTAGTAGTCTAAGTTTTTTTTATAGATGATTGAACCGTGAAAGTCCTTATGCTTTTGCTTTTAGCTAACTTAGTTAATTTAATTTTTAGATATCTTCTTTAACACATATAAAAGTTTTAAGTCTTGTAATGTAAGCTACACAATTCTTGGGGCCGTCTGTCTTCCTTGATTGTTTTCATTAGAGCTTTGCTGCTTAGTAATATTGTGTATTTTAGCATAATCGAATCCAAATCTAAATTTCATTGACAACTGCTTAATTCGGCTCATTGTGTTCACCTAAAGAGATATAGAAATGGAATACGGTAGATGTGAAAGTCGTCTTGACAGAGCCTTTAGTATTCAAAATCGTTGCCATCCCTCTCGACAGTCTTGACCCTTATGACCCTAGTGACCTGTAATGATTTTCGCCACAAATTTGTAGGTCAGGTTTCGGCATGGAAATAAGGGACCTCGTTCTCTTTTCGAATCCGCTCCTTGCTAACTCAGTTTCAGCTTCCTGTGTCCCCCAACAAACAGACTTAAGTGAAGTAGAGTGTTCCATGCAGCCTGGGGTGTATTCAGAAAGGTACCTGTAATCAGTATCGATGCTATTGTCTAAACCGAGAATAGACGAACAATTGAATCACATGCTGGAGTTTATTAGGTTTTGGATTATATTAAGTTTTAGCCACCAGAATATTCCAAGAATACAGGGTGAGATAAAAAACTGTAACAAAGTCAAACGTCATAATTTTTAATTTTTTTTTAATTTTATTGAATGAAAACAAAAAATGTGGGAAATACCATCAAATTTTAGAATAAGTTTAGATTTGTTCGAATTGGTCACCTTTGGCGCGAATTATGGCCTTCAAACGGCCAAAGAAACCGTCATACGTTGCCCGAATGTTGCTCTGCGGTATTTTGACCCATTCCCGGCGATGCACTTGCTTGGGGTGATTTTTTAGTGCCAAACTTGCTTTCCAAAATACTCCAGACACAATAGTTCAACGGATTGGTATCCATACATTTTAGTGGCCATTGTGCGCTGGAAATGAAGCGGGGTACATCATTTTGTAACCATTCTTGGGTGGCGCGAGCTGAGTGCGATACTGCTGAGTCATGTTGGAATGTCC